GCCATGTCGAACCATTAAGTTGGACCCTCTATAAAGAAAACGCAGCAACGTCTTTGAAATAAGCACTGTGACAGGGCAGAAGAAGTGTGGAGAAGGGAAGTGGTCATAGGAGAGGGGGGGTGAATATGCCTTTCAACTCGCGCTCTAGAAGATTAAAATAATTTAGCTGAGCAAGCTGAGATGCCAGAGAAAGCAAAACAGGACAAGAGCATGGTGTTCAAAAACAGCACGGCCCTACTTTAAGTGCTCACTCTCCACACGCCGTCACCATGCGCTGAAGATGCACCGGTGTGCAGGCTGCCGCATGCGTACTAGGAGTTTATAAAGAATGTGAGCATTATCCAGGCTAGGCCTTGTGACAACAGCAATAAAATGATTACCAGTGCCAACATGGTGAAGCTCCGTCTCTACTAAAAATACAAAAATTAGGGGCATATGGTGCATACCTGTAGTCCCAGCTACTCGGGAGGCTGAGGCAGAAGAATTGCTTCAACCCAGGAGGCAGAAGTTACAGTGAGCTTAGATTGCACCACTGTACTCCAGCCTGGGTGACAGAGTGAGACTCTGTCCCATAAAAAACCAATCAACAAAAAGATGACTGGCTATCCACAAGGATGTGCAGCAATTTAATTGGATTCTCTGTCAGACTAAAGATTGATGAATGACCAGCAGCATGAAAGCCCACGGATAACTTGATGCTTAGAGGCTAACTCAAGGAAACTATCCTCTTGTTGACCAAAACAAGTGGTAAATTATTGTGCATGGGGAGAACAAAGATGCTTTCCCGTGTTCAGAGTGAGGAGATTATTTTGTTTGACAATAAGTTTTTGTATTCACAAAAACAGACTTACCTTTACATGCCTTGATTTTGACCCAGTAAGGCACATTTTAGACTTTTGTCCACTAGAACATGTAACTTATATAAAATAAAAAATATGATTCACTTTTAATAAGGAATAGATTTTCAAATTTAAATATCTTAAGCCACCCACCCATGTTGTACTTGCCAAGTATATGAAATATTATATTGGTTTTATTTGTCCTACAGAAACTAGAATCTCTAGGATTCTGGCATTTTTCCCACCGAGGACAAATCATTGCTATCAATCCATTCAGTTCCTAGATGAGGCAAGAAAGGATTCAAGGAAAAATGAGGACAAAATGAAGAGTGTGCGTCGGCCAAAGTCCTCTCATTCCAGATGAAAGATGAAACGTTATATTGCAATACCAAAGACAAAGGTAGACTCTGAACAGCTGTCTGGTTTATTATTCAGAACTGAATAGATGGATGAGCATACACAGGAGCTCATGCTTGGGTACGTGTCATCGACGACATTGTGAACGTGACAGGTTAGTGCCTATGGATGCACCAAGGAAGCCGGCTCATTTGCCCAGCACGTGGTCCTCTGGTGGGAAGATTCCTCCTGTGGCGGCCTGGTGCACACAGGGTGTGCGTTAGGAAATGGTGGGGGGTCCTGCGCAGGCAAAAGGACCTGCTTCTGTGTCCACGTGAGAAGATACTCAACATGGCTTGCGGGAGCTGCCCTCTGAACGCTTGTCAGCTCTTCACAGTGGGCTCATATGTGCAAGAGGCAGGAAGAAGCCTGGATTCAAGCTCTGGGGCTACCACTGACTGGTTGGCAAGTCTTTTTCCCCCTTAACTTTTCAAAGGCTCAGTTTCCTCAACTGCAAAAGTAAGAGTTATGATTGTACGTAATTCATAGCATTTATGGGTATTTCATGAACACAGCACCTAGCACTTAGTAGTCTAGATGGCCAGGATCAAAAAGAACAGGTTGACTCTCCTTCCTCCCGCCCCTAATATTAGGAACTGTAATCTCCAGTCCAGAGCTCAGATTCCAGAATTCTTATTACATCCCAAAGCACCTCTGTGATTAGGCTGCGCCTAGAGGCAGGGGCTGCATTAGGAAGGGCGCTCCCCTGTGCACTGCGCAGCATACCACACTTGGCCAGCATATCCAGGGAAAGTCTCAGGACAGGGGAGCCTTCTCAGCCATTCCAGAAAACTGCCAGTATGAGACCCAAAAAACATGACTGATGTCAAAGAGGCTTGATAAAGCAAGACTAAAATTCAAAATGACAGAGAAAGAAGGACTATTCCATGATGTAGTCCGGGATGAAATAAGGGATGCTAGATGAAATTAGTGGGCCCTTGAATTAAACTTGTAACATTCTGGCTGCTCTGAGATGTTCAGCTGTGTGGACTGACGTAAGAATGGAAAGGGCAGACCCTCTCCCTGGGTTGACACCACATGGCCTGTCTCCCTCCCAGAAGTCTCACTCCAGAATTCTCCTTCTAACCCAAGCGCCAGAAACCTTAACTGCTGCTCAGCCTCTGTCTGGCTCCCTGCTCTGCTGCACTGGCTAATCAGTCTTCCTTAACTGGAAACTCAGTATCCCCTGCAGAAAGTCTGCAATCATGCTTTGAAGTTATTTGCGTCCAGTCAGAATGACCTTTTACTTCTAATTCTAAATAGAGTGCCTTGGTGGTGTCAGTCGCCTGATATGTAGGGCTGGTGGGTTCTACAGCAGTCACGCTGGGCCATAGTTCTTCGTGACATCCGTGACTGGATGCATGAAACTGACAGAATTGTGACTCTCATGGTGAGTAAGAAGTGGAAGTAGCCAATGGCAGTCATACAGTTATACAGTACGAGGAGTTTGCTTTGCAGCAGCATCGGGCTTCCATGCCTTCTCCTGCTTTGTGGAGGGCACTTTGGGGTTTAGTGGAATTCGCACAGGGAAGTGCTGTACTTTGGCTTGGGTGTCTTCTGAAGATAAGGATGAGGCCATTTACCACCCGGCCCCAGTTCAGCATCCCACAGGAAAGTCCAATACAGCCCTCACAACACTGGTCTTCTTTCTTCAACTAATGGCTTCCTGACCATCCCTCTGTTCTTCTTAAAGTGACAGAGACTGTGGGGCAAAAGGGAGAAAGGCTTCAATTCCAGTTTTACCATTTATTGTTAACTCTGAATAAGTAATACCCACTTCAGATAGGTGGGGTAGTTGTATCTGTAAGGTGCACAGCAGAGGGCCGAGCCACAGCAGAGACAGTGCTGCTTCCTGCGTCCTGTCCTCTCTGCCTTCGCACTCATCACCATCCCTTGCTGCTAATTGCACCTCTTTAGTCCTCCGTGTTAGACAAACATCTTCCCATTATCACAGGCAGCAGATTTGCCCTCTTCGTCAGCCTTGTCCGGAAGCCCAGGAATGCACAGGCCAGCATCAGTATTTATCTCAAGGTGACACTTGTAATGGATGATTGCTGCACTTCTTAATCCATTTATGTAATCTTTTCTGCTTTGCTTGCAGTTATTTTCAGTGCTTTAGCTGCAATAAAATGGTTCCTTTCCCAAGACAGAGTTCATTCAATTTAAATCTGGATTGATTAGAGCTAAAGTTATGACATGTCTTTACAAAGGAAGAAAAAAACAGCAATAAATTATGCACAGTGATCATTTGGCATTTATTCAGTTCCCACAGTATCCTGGGCTCAGCATATAGCAACTGGGGATAAATCCTTGCCCTTGAGAATCAAAGCACAGTTGTAGGTATAAAAAGACAAACGGGGATGCATTTCATGGACTCACGGTCCACGCTCGTCCCTGCAGTTTTCCTTAGATGCATTCCACCGGTGTTGTCCTTGGCTTTTGACCTCTACTCCCAAAGGCTTCTTTTCTCCTGCTCCTTAAGCAGATTTGGTTTCAGCCTAAGACATTTATTGCGGCTTGATTTTAGGGTGAGCATGATGGTATCAGCCTAACATTCATGGGATTCCTCCTGTGGCGGCCTGGTGCAGACAGGGCGTGCATTAGGAAATGGTGGGGGGTCCTGCGCAGGCAAAAGGTCCTGCTTCTGTGTCCATGTGAGAAGATACTCATCTACGTGTGCACCAATAAGAGCATTTCCTGCCAAATGGATGGATGATGGGATGGACTTTGAGAACACTGAACCAGATCTAATTTATGTAACACAATAATACAAATTCAATTCAAGTAATTTGTGACTTAGCTTTGAAAATAGTGTGGTGCTTTTAGTTCACAGAAGTCCCACTAACTATATCCCTTGATAATCATTTATATAAAGTACCATCCAAAGAAGAAAAATAAAGAGGGAGAAAGACCTAATATATTTTTTAATGTTGTTCCTTTGACTTTAAAGGAAAAGAATGTGAGAGGGGGAGATTCAGATGAATCAAGATGAATAAGAATAGCTGGCATTGAGTGCCAGGCGTGTTACATTCAGTTCTTCAAATGATGAGCAAGCAGAAGTTCAAGCCATTAAATAGCGTTCCAACTACAGGGACGCATAGCCATGACGCGATGGAAGGACGCTGTAACCGCAGGTCCCAAGCACTTAGCCACCGCGCTGTTCTGCCATCTAGGACCCAACACACAAATAGGCGCTGTATCCATGAAAAAAAAAATCATTTTCTCTCACATGTTGGTTAACTTTGAAGTTACAAATAAAACAAAAATCCTTTTCTTTATTACATTTACATGTGAAATTTCACTGCCAGGAAAACATAATACAGTGATCGTCCCTAATGCGTCCTAGATATAATTCAAATTGTATTTAAGTAATGGCTTAGAGTCAGGATTTATTTAGAATGAAAAAGCAATTTATTTTGTCTTTTTGAAGATAAAAGCAATTATTTTAATTTGCCAAATGTTTCATTTTCTTTCCTCAGAACTTTTTTTGCATAAAAAAAAGATGAAAGGAAATTTAAACAAAGATGTTAGCCAAGGTTTTCGTGTTGTTCTGTTGTTGTTGTTATTTTTGAAGGGGAGATGGATCAGGAGAGAAACTAGGTCTTTTACTCTAGGTTCCCAGGAATTGAGAGCCTGAGGACGGATTTAATTCCAGGGTTAAGGTTGTCCTCACAGAGTCTTGCCACTCGATTCCCGGAAACACGCGCCGAGCAGTTGTGCTTACCGTTGTGTCTTTGCTTACACAGTGTGTGTGTCTGCTTTCAGTTAACCTGGACAGGCTCAATGACGATGTCAAGCGTTACAGCTGCACCCCCAGGAATTACTCGGTCAATATAAGAGAAGAGCTGAAGCTGACCAATGTGCTCTTCTTTCCACGTTGCCTCCTCGTGCAGCGCTGTGGAGGAAACTGTGGCTGTGGAGCTGCCAACGGGAGGTCCTGTACGTGCAGTTCAGGGAAAAGTGTGAAAAAGTATCACGAGGTATGTCATTCTCGGATTTCTTCCTGCGATGCTTAATCTATAGGATTCAGGAGGACAGGGCCATTGCATACAGTTGTTCAGGTTGATCACTGCACAAGGGCTCCCAGCCAGGGTGTGATTAGGAGCTGAAATTCTGCCCACACTAGGTTTGCCAAGTCAAGTGCCCTGAAGAAAGTTAATCTCATCCTGACGAAGGCACCGTTTCTCCTAAATTGAGCAATGCACTATGTGAATCAACAACAGCCTTGTTAGAATATATAATCAACTGTGCGATACAGTCATTTCAGAGCTTACTTGGCCTCCTTGCAGAAAGAGAGGAAAAAAAAGAAATATGATGTTATTCATTGACAGGATGTGACTGCAAAAACTAATAAGCAAAACCTTAATTCAATTATATTATTTAATAAATGTGGCACAATAAAGACAGAAAAACATCAATTGCCAAAGAGCATTTCATTTTCTAAATAGGAAGTGTGCTTCAACTGGAAATGCTCATTTTATCCTAACAGCTACTAAGTGCTACTCCGGGAATCAGCTCTTGGATTATGCAAAAATAAAAGTAAATATAAGAATATAGGAGGAACAAAGACATAAAGAGCATAGTAACCTTAATAATAGTAATCATAGTGTTTATTGCTTCACAAACACTATTGTAGGTAATCATTCGCTCATCTGGCATCCCATCATCGAGATTGTAAAAATGTTGCTATTTTTACTCTTTTTTAAATAGATAAGTCAACTAAAGTCCTAGGAGAATCATAAGTTGGCCAGCACGGCATGGTCAGTAAATCACAGAGCCAGGACTCCAACTCCAGTCCACTGGCTCCAGGGTCTGCTTTTCCTATCACTAGTAATATATAACACTTTACTGAGGCTGGAAGATAGAGTAGACTGAAGAGGAGGTAGAGCTACTCCCTGACACAGACAGCGGCTCTAATTGCTTTATGATTGTGGGAACGCGTGCAAATCACTAAAGTTTAGAGACTCGGTTTTCACATACGTGAAATGGGACTGAGAAGTTAATATACCAGATAACCCCTTCCAGTGTTGCTCTGAGGGTCACATAAAACAATGCACATGAAATGCATTTTGCAAGATGTTAAGTATCATGCAGAAATGTGTCTTAAAATATACACTACCGCATATTCTCACTCATAGGCGGGTGATGAAAAATGAGAACACATGGACACAGGGAGGGGAGTACTAAACACTGGGGTCTATTGGGGGGAAAAGTGGAGGGCCAGCAGGCGGCGGGGAGCTGGGGAGGGATAGCCTGGGGAGAAATGCCAAATGTGGGTGAAGGGGAGAAAGGAAGCAAAACACACTGCCATGTGTGTACCTATGCAGCTGTCTTGCATGTTCTGCACATGTACCCCAAAACCTAAAATGCAATAAAAAATTTATATATATATATAAATATACGCTAAATATATATATATATAAATATATATATATATATAAATATACGCAATATATATATATATATATATATATATACACTAAAATGTAAAGCAAACGTTATCGTTAGGAATTACTGTTTGAGTTGCTCTCCATCAATGACCACAGCAATCCCATTCCTGGGTATATACCCGAAGGATTATAAATCATTCTGCTATAAAGACACATGCACACATAAGTTTATTGCATCACTGTTTACAATAGTAAAGACTTAGAACCAACCCGAATGCCCACCAGTGATAGACTGGATAATAAAAATGTGGTCCATATATACCATGGACTACTATGTAGCCATAAAAAAGGATGAGTTCATGTCCTTTGCAGGGACATGGATGAAGCTGGAAGCCTCCATGTGTTCTCAGCAAACTAACACAGGAACAGAAAACCAAACACTGCATGTTGTCACTCATAAGTGAGAGTTGTACAATGAGAAAACTCGGTCACAGAGAAGGGAACGTGACACACTGCGGCCTGTTGGGTGGTGGGGACTAGGAGAGGAATAGCATTAGGAGAAATACCTAATATAGATGATGGGTTGATGGCTGCAGAAACCACCATGACACGCGTATACCCATGTAACAAACCTGCACATTCTGCACGTGTATTTCAGAACTTAAAGCATAAAAAAATAAAGGCCACCAAAACAAAGGAAAAGATAGCTCTCTCTAAATAAAATCTTCAGCTTTGTGAAACTGGCTTTTGGAGGCTTTTGTTGCTGTTGTTTGGGTTTGATTTTTGTTCTGAAAACAATACAAGAGTCATAGTAAGTTAGGAAGTTCCTTCTGGATTAAACAAACATGAGTATGTAATAATTGCTATTTTCAACTTGGAAATGTAGGAAGTTGTGCCACAATGACCATGCTTACCTCAGACGGAAACATTATTTCAGACTTACATGAACGTATTTTCTCAGTCATAAGAATTGCTTACTCCACCCCACTGTTTTCAAAGGCAAAAAGAAAAAAGTTCTCATATCTGGAGAATGCTATAATCTATGTTCATTGTGTTTTATTTTTGTATGAACTGATGACCTCTAGATTGGATGTTGTCCTTCACATAGAAGAACCTGAATTTTAGAACCTTTAATCATACGCTGAGGATAAATAGCAGTCAGGTTACAGTTTAAATAATTTAGGAGGCGACAAGGTCTCTACCTAGTGGTAACTGTGAGGAAGAACATTCAAGGTCAGGCCTTCGATGTATTTGCGGACTACTTTGTTTTTGTTTTTACGCTCAGAAGTTTTAGCTTGATTTTAAAAATTACTTATTGTGGGAACGGCAGAGTGAACCGTACACCCCTAAAGACCCTTACCTCCCAGCCAGTTAGTTCTGAAGAACACTGAAGGCCTGGCTGTCCTTCTCCTCTTAGTTCCTTCCTTGTCTCTCCGCACAGTAACCATTACCTGCGAATTTCTGTTCTCAATTAACATGTAAAGGGGACAACTCTTGATCTCTTGGTTCAGTTGCATGAATGGGTCTAAAACATTGGCATCCTTCAAAACTGTATCTAAGCATCTTTTTAAGACATGTGTCATAATATTTTTACTTCTAGAACTCTGCAGAACTCTATAAAATCACTCTGCCAAGTGCTGGACAAAAGGAAAAATAAGCATCCATCACCAGCCAGTAACTCAGTACCTGAAACAAACACTCCTGTCATATGCCCCTGAGACTCTTGAAATACCCTTGAGATGTGTCACAATTATCACTTTCAAGTGCCCTGTGGAAAACAGCAAAAGGCTTATTCCATTTCCAGAAGGGGGGTTGCTTGAGCCTAGTCTCTTTAGGGAAAAATTCTAGTCCTTTAATCTTCGAGTTCTGTGTCTGTATTCTTACCTCTGAGAAATGAGAAACCGCTTTCCCAGCTCATGGTTGCAACTGATGAGATGTGAAATGAGTTTCTGTGAGAGACGAGCTCCCTTAAAGGGGTAATGAGACCTTGTCACATAACAGGCTTCTGTGATTCTCCACAAATATTTCAGTGCTTAACATTAAGAAGTTTAAATCTAGGAAACTAGAAAGCTCCTAATGAAGCTAATATCATGCTTTTTCACAGCTCCTCTTAGTTCTCCTGTAAAGTTTCACTGTGCAGTAAAATGTGACTATCTTTATTATTTCTTGCTCTCAAAAGTTTGTAGGTCCCTTGTTAAAGGATTTTTCCTCTTAACCATTGTTCTATGCTTCTTGGAATATATTAGATATAGGGGAGGAAAAATACCTTTTCTTCTTGGGTTCATGGCTGAGGCCACCATAACAAAAGACAGAATAACAAAAGCAAAGCATACTCATTTACTGAATATGTTTTACATGCCACAGAGGCCTTGCTAAGGAAGAAAAGACCCCAAAAATCAGTTCAACCTGAGAATTTTTTACAGTAGGTTTGATAAACTGTGGATAGTTGTGGAGAAATATGATGGGGAAGAATATGACCTAATGCTAATAAACTGGAGAAAATTAGCAAGGCCCGTCTGTTCAGATTCTTTTTTGTTTTACCTTTGTCTTTGGAAATAAAGATTCTTAGGCCAGGAGGAGTGGCTCATGCCTATAATCCCACCATTTTGAGAGGCCAAGGTGGCATGATCTTTTGAGGCTATGAGTTCGAGATCAGCCTGGTCAACATAGCGAGACCCCCATCTCTCCAAAAAAAAAAAAAAAAAAAAGAATTTTCTTTTAAGTAGCCAAGTGTGGAGACATGTGCCTGTGGTCTGAGCTACTTGGGATGCTGAGGCAGGAGAACTGCTTGAGCCCAGGAGTTCAAGGTTGCAGCAAATCATGATGATACCACTGTACTCCAGCCTCAGTGACAAGGTGAGACACATATAAAAAAAAAAAGATAGGGGGAGATTCTTCTTTCTTCTGAGTATAACAGCAGCATTGCTCACACGAGGGTCTTATGACTTGCTACATGGGAAGATCAGAAAATCTTAGGTTTTGTGACCTACTTCAGGATAGAGCGTGAAGGGAAGGTCAGAGTGACCTTTCTGCTTTTCTTGTTTTCTCTAATTCCTTCAGCTTAAAACATTTGGGAATACAGTGTCCTGAGCCCCATCATAGGATGTAAAAGACACTTTGGTAGTGATTTCTGTTAAAGGGAGGATTCCAGAAAACAAAGTATTGTGTAGACAATTAGAAGATACTATTATTTCAGTTCTCTTCTTCTCTTTATAGTGCGTAATGAAGGAACAGGATATTCCCTAAAAAGGTAGTTACCTAGTATTAACACTCATTGTTTTCCACGATGTGGTGCCCTGGCTGCATCCATTCAGTCAACAGCCAAAACCATAGGAAGCATCAGAGAGATACAGAGAGCTAATTTTCTCTGTTCTTCCTCTCATGATTCTGTCAGGACGCTTGACATAAGCACCCGCACTGTGTAGTCGAAGTTTCTCCGGTGATAGGAATAACCTGTATTTGGACTGTTCCATGTGGTAGTCACTAGCAACCTGTGGCTACTGGGCACTTGAAGTGTGTGCAGCACAAATAGAAACTACATTTTTTATTGTATGTGGTTTTAACTAATCGAAAATTAAATCACCACACAAGGCTGCGGCTACCTTGACGGATGGCACAAGCCTAGACCCATCTCTGATTCCAGCACATTTATAGCACCTAGAATCATTCACATCTATGACTTTAGAGGATTATTCTTATTTAATGTAGAATTTTGTATTAAACATTTGCATTTCATCACAGTTTAAGAGTTAGGAGATGTAGTAATAAATAGGTACAGATTATCTTCAACTCGATGGTTAGATTTGTATTTTTTTGACTTTTCGGTGGGTTAATTGGGGTTTTAGTGCATTGACCATTTAAGATATTTTTAGCCTCCAATGGGTTTATCAGGATATAGTCCCATCATAAATCAAGGAGCATCCGTAATTATACACGAAACATCAGATTAGAGCACTACACCGTTGACCTTCAGATTTGCGGTAACACAATAGTACTTTGTTTTTACATGTTTGAAATGTCTGTTCTTGAAAACAGCTTGCCTAATTTTTAAACTGAGACCAAAGAAACAGAAAAGAAACTTTGTGCAAGCAGTATTTATTCTCTAGCAATAGGGAGGGAGTTTTGGGGTCCTGATTATACCTAACCATAGCAGAAGTCAAGAAAGTCTCTTTTCTATTTTTTTTTTTTTTTAGAAACCGCATAGCTAGAACTTGTAGAGTCTCTCTGCCTCTTGTCCTTTCTCCGCCTTGGAGTGAGACCATGAGGCCTTTCCTGTGGTGTTTTCCTACCAAGAGAGGGCCATAGAGCAGAAAAATTGCAGAACTAGAAAAGATGTGAGTTTTGGTTCCAGTTCCACCACACGGAGAGGCAATGAGGACCAGCCCCTTAAAGCTTCCCAAGGCCTCAGGTTTCCTCACTTAATCCCCCGTAATAACCTACAATTTTGAGTTCCCAGGCAAACCTGAAATTACATCACTTTCATCATCTGTTGTTACACTTTGTCCTTCCCCCGAAATCGTATCTTACTGAAATTATGTAAAGAATAAAAACAAATTGGAGGTTGAAATGCGAAGTAAATGCAAAAAGAATAAAGATATGATATGGAACAGTAAATGCTTATAGACTGCTTATAAAAAGTTAGTTCACTCCTCTTGGCAATGGCAATGATAAGACCTGTGCTTCTTACCACCTGAGGATACTGCGTGAATGAAGGCATCTGAAGACTAGAAAGTGCAAGACAGATGTGGGTAGAGTTAGGTGAGAGCCCGGTCTGGCTTCCTCAGTTCTGATTAGACTTTTTCCCTGATGACCCACCTACCGGTTACTGAACTCCTTGTTTAAGTATTACAAACTGCACACACTCTCTCCTTTCTCAATCTAGCCTCGCATCAGGCCTTCCTGCGAAAGCGGCAAACTTGCCACATGGGACCAGGTACTCCTCAGGCAGACAAGGCCCATCTGTGTCATGAATGATACCCGGTGCTAACGCCGGGCTCCGAAAGTTAGTGCCCAGCCAGGCTTTCTATATTGTTTTCTGCAGTGAGTAGGCTGAACATGTAGTCATTAATCCTCTAAGGTACTGTCAAAATCATTTAACTATTTGGTTCTGTAAAGTTAAAACTGCAACTGAGGACACCTCATAGTAAACCTAGAGTCTCACAGAAAGCTTCTATTTGAAGTAAATATGCACAGATGTCATGATTGCATTTTCAAAATTCGTGAGCATGTTATAAACCCCCACTATAACCCAGCTTTTTGTCACTTTCAGACTTAACTTCTTAGTATAACAGTGTTGCGCTGCTTGTCATCTGTGTCTGTTTAACTGAGGACTATGTCTTGGGACTTTATACCAGTCCTTCTGTTACAGTGTCAGCCACTGCTGCAACTATTGCCTGCAGGCTGAGTCACTACTCAGGGAGAAAATACTATGTTATCCCTGCTCAAGATATTTTTGCTTGTAGTCCCTTAGTGTTCAGAATAATTCACTAGCATCCCTTAAAAATATTGACTCTGTGTACATTTTTTATAAAGGCTATAAGCATGAAAGAGGTCGAAAGAGAAGATTTTTTTCCCCCTTAAAAAACTGTGTGTGCTGAATATAGCCTGCTTTAGAAGTCAGGAAGCATCTTAAATAAACTCTTAATGATTCAGTTTATATAATGCATTTGTCCTGAAATATGTACTTGTGTTCCTTTGTCGGCCATTAATTTGAGAACCGTTACAAGGTCTTAACAACCTTTTTTTAATACTCCCAATAAACAAGAACCAACTCAGAAGATAGCTTTTCTGCCTGGTATTGTTTTATTAGTGTAAATAGCTTCATGGCAAAGATTTATTCAGAGGTTTATTGGCAACAAGGTGAGTAACTGTAGTTAAATATCTTTTGTGATGAGGTAATTTGCAAAACTGAGTACCTTTGATTTTCTCCGGGGTATGAAACCCACCAACTGGCTCAGTCACACTCCATTTAGTAGATGTCAAGTTTCCCTGGCTTCATGTGGTTTTCCAGGGGGTGGAGAGGAGTCAGGATCCTCATTTGCACCCATAGGTGTTAAGAAACAGCCTGTTGCCCCCTAGTGGATTTGTTATTTCCAGGTATATGCTTGCAGCTGTGAATCACAGCTCAGAAAATAAGAAAGTGCTTTGTGAGGGCACCTCTTGTCCTTCAGCTGCTGTAATTAATTCAGTGTTCCTTCCCTTTAAAGGTGACCAGATAACCTATAACCAGCCAGTTTGCTTTCTCAGATAAAGGCTTTTCATTTTTCTATGTGCCCTCAAATCAGCCTTGCTTTCTTCCTCCTTTCGATGCTGTGTACCTGAACCTAAGACTATTACATGATCTGAAAGCTTTGAACGTGTGGCTGTGATCATCCAGGAAGGCAGTCCAATTTCCACTGTGTTCAAATAGTGCTTTCCTGTCTTGTCTGGGAGAAAATGTCTACCAATTCATTTTTCTCTTATCAGCAAAACACATGTATACTGTGCCCACGTTGCTTAATATAAAACATAGAGAAAATCCCTGAACAATCGGAAGACCAGTTAGAAAACCTGCCCAGGCTCTTGCTCTAATCCCAAGGCACACACTTTTTTTTGCCATCAGATGAGAAAGCAGATCGACAGAGCCCTGATTTTACAGGTGCCAGCCATCACAGAGTCTCAGGCCTTGATAACAGTCTTCTTCAACAGGAATCTTTATCATACGCTCAGCTTCTTAGGAGTCATTTCCCTCTCCTGCATCTCCTCGGTTCTCAAATCTGTTTTACAGGCAGATGGTCTTGGAAAATAGCAACTAATTCATATTGGAGAAATTTTTGGCAGAGCTATAGGAGTCCAAACCCCAACTCCTTCCAAGGCACCTATTGTTAAGTGCAATAGAATTGCAGGAGAAGATAATAGAATCAACTATCAAAACTGGCCTTTGGACTAGCTTTACCAATATCAAAATTTCTGACACCTTGTCTCCCTAATGAACTCTCTTATGGGATATCTTTCCGCCTCAGTTTTGTGCTTGCAATCCTTTTGAAGCTTTGCTACAAATAGATCTCTGTCTTCCCTTCTGTGTCAGCAGAGTGCCCTCACTTGATTGAACATTAAACAGACGCAGTGATTTATTCTCTGCCTAACTGGACCTTCTATGGAACAGCATGGCAAAATTCTAAATGAAAGGAATGTGCAGCCCGCGATGCATGAGCGCAGGAGACTCTAGGCATCAAACTTTCATCTAGTTAAAAGTTCAAGCAAAGCATAACAGGTCTCCCTGCCCGTTCACATGGGGAACCAGACACACCCTTGAGACACAAAAGGAAATTGAAGGCATGTTAGAGAGGCCTTAAGTCAGAACATGCTAGGAACCTAAATGCCCTGATCCCAATCCTGGTGTCGGGTCCAAGTCGCTGGGAGACCCTGGACAAGGTACTTACCCTCCTTTAGAATCTCAGTGTAAAGTGGGCATAATGATGCCTTTTCCACTGTTTGAAAGACTTGTCTGAGGGTAAAAAGAAAAAAAAAAGTGCCTTTGCAAATTATTCAAAAACCGTAAAATGCTCCAGAATTATTTGATGGTGCCATGAGTGAGTTTAGAATCTAAAAGGAAAATAGGACAAAATAAAAAATAAAGGCTAACAGGAATCTAAGAACATAAAGGAAATAATCTGTTGGTCTGCCTATGTAGTATATTAGAAAACAAGTCCGTAGTTTTACCAAGTATATGTCTGTCATAGCTAATGTTTGACTAAATGAAGGCCGCTGCAGGGGAGAGGGTTAGCCTAGGTTTAAACTACTAATTTAAGAAATTATGTTTAAATGTATGAATTTAAAAATTAATGATATACTTATTGATTTAATAAATGCTATATTGATACATGGTATTGATATACAAAGATTTTAGTGGAACCTGATCTGTTTTAAATTGTAAAGGATATTATATGCTAACAAATATACAGGAACATAAACACATTGTTACTTATTTATGGCCACTAATGACCTTCCTCGGGGCGACGTGTTTTCCTTCAACCAAAGATTTAGATGTACCCGCATATTATGTTCATGACTTTATTCATTTTCCTGTCCATGCTAACAATAGGCTCAGTACTGCATTTTTCTATAACACATGCCTTGGTCAGAAGAATCTTAATGGTAATATCTGGAACAGCACATGACCCAAAGCAGGCCCTTACAAAACTATTAATGAATACCTGCCAAGACACATGAAATCATCTGGGTACTTCAGGTAGGTCATGCTGGGGCACTGCTCTGGGATCAGCTGACCCCTCCACTGCAGGGAGTCGGTTATCTCAAAAGGTATACATGTGTGCATTCTGACAGGAAGCCCATAGCTTTTGCTGGATTCGCAAAGGGTTATGAAGTAGTTGTCAAAAAGGTAATGAGTAAGTGGGGTCTGATTGAGTCAAATTCCAAAGGCTTTCTAACAGGAGATGTGCTTCTTGTCCTAGGTACTGCAGTTTGAGCCTGGCCACATCAAGAGGAGGGGCAGAGCTAAGACCATGGCTCTGGTTGACATCCAGCTGGATCACCATGAACGATGCGACTGTATCTGCAGCTCAAGACCACCCCGATAAGCGAATGTGCACATCCTTGCATTAAGCATGAAAGAACCTTTAGCTTAAGGAGGGTGTGATAAGAGACGCTTTGCCTGCCAGCAACCAAACTTACTACTAGCCTGCAATGTAATGAACACAGGTGGTTGCTGAGTCTCAGCCTTGCTCCATTAGTGCCATGGCAAGTAGAAAGGTATATCATCAACTTCTATATCTAAGAATATAGGATTGCATTTAATAATAGTGTTTGAGGTTCTACACACACCCACGCACACACAGAAATATACTCATGTCTATGTGTAAATAGAGCAAATGGTTTATTCGGCATATGTAACCAGGTACACCAGAGCTTACATACGTTTGAGTCAGACTCAAAATCCTTTGACAAAATAAGGGATGGGCAAATATATGAAACATGTCTTTAGAAAATTTAGCAGATAAGTTTATTTTTAAATTTCAAAACACAAGACAATTTTGAATCTTGCTCTCTTAAAGAAAGTATCTTGTACATTAAAAAACAAAAGATGAGCCTTTCTTACATATACATCTTAGTTGATTATTAAAAAAGGGAAAATATGGTTTTTGGAGAAAAGGTCAATACATGAGCATTTTTTCCATGAGACACACGACGTAATTACCTATGTAGACCATAATAACCTGGCTCCGAAACCATGTCATCATAATGTAAGTGCTTTAGAAATTAAATCATTGTGTTTTTATGCATTTCACTGAGGTATGTTTATTTAGTTAACACCTATCTCAAAAAATTACTTAGACGCTTTCTTATTATAATCCTACAAGAGACAACGTATAAGCTCTAACAGAATTTTGAATTGTTTTTCTTTGCAAAATTTCTTCACAAAAGCAAATCCTTTCAAGAATGCATGGGAATTCAGTATGAACCTTTCCAGATGGAGTTCATTGAAAGATGCGGGTAGCTGAGAACTTACAAAGTGAACGTGAAACATTGACACAACTGGAAATTAGTTGGGATATTTGGTAGAATCCATATCTAATAATGGATTCAATTCTCCAAACTATGCCAATTAATTTAATGTATCTTGCTTTTGTGTTCCTGTCTTTTTGAAATATAGACATGGATTTATAGTGGCATTTTATGTTTGGCAAGCCATCATAGATTATTTATAACCTAAAAGCTTTTGTGTATCAATAAAAAAATCACATTTTATTAATGTAAATTTCTAATCATGTACTGGCTCACTGTTCTGATTTCCTGTTTCTGAACCAAGTAAAATCAGTCCTAGGCCTCTGGTTCTTAGTCTATGGAGCTTGCTTTAAGAAGCCAGTTGTCCATTGTGGTAACACAAATTTGGCCCTGCGCTCCTACTGTTTAACATTGGTTAATGACACCTACAGTCATTTTTCCTCCCTGCCTCCTTTTGTGTCTATTTTAAAGGAGACCGGCTCCAGGAGTAGGACATGATTCATCATTTTCCAAAGCAAGACGCTTACTTAAGAGAGCAACATGGAAATTCAGATAGCTCAGGGACTGCTAACAGAGAACTACATTTTTCTTATTGCCTTGAAGGTTAAAAAAAAAAAAAAAAAAGCAGACTTTTTCAGTGAGTCTGTGGTCCCACTGGCTACAACCAGTGGGCGACAGGGCTGGTGAAGTTCCAGTGTCAGATGAGTGACCTAAATATATTTAGATTTCTAAGTATGGTGCTCTCAGGTCCAAGTTCAACTATTCTTTAGCAGCTCAATTCTTCTCAGTTCTTTGAGATGAAAGACCTGTGCTTATTGAAGATGTACCTTCTAAAACTTTCCTAAAAGAGTCTGATGTTTTTACTCAAGGGGCAAGTGGTAAAATTAAATACTCTATTGTTCAATTCTCCAGAATCCCAGAACACAATCAGAAATAGCTCAGGCAGACACTAATAATCAAGAGTGCTCTTCCTCTCTATTGCCGCTTGGCAAGTTTTTCCTGTGAAAACATCAGCTTCCTGTACCAAAGTCAGAATGAACGTTACATCACTCTAGCTTCAACAGCTCACATTGCAGCTGTAAATATAAAAAATTAGAGTGTGTTCTACCCAATTTTCAATAAACCTTCCAGGCTGCGATAACCGGCGAGGTTTTCAGTTAAAGCCCTATCTGCACTTTTGATTTATTAGCTGAAATGTAAGCAGGCATATTCACTCACCGTTTTGCCTTTCCTAAGCATTTTATTAAAACGTATACCTCGGTTACCTGTTATCTATTGCACTTCTAACATGTAGCCAATAAATCTATTTGATAGCCACCAAGGGAATAAAAAGCTCACCGTACAAATTACATCTCAAAACAAACCCTAATAAACCTGCGTTTCCACACGGCTCGCTCACCTGGAATAATGCTTTTTATTCCATGCATTCTTATAGGGCCAAGCGCTCTCCTAAGACGAGTTTTCTTACATTTGTGTCATATTGGTAACATGCAGCTTTTTCCCCGCAGAGCGTTTTCTGTAGCAAATGTACTATCTTCATGAAACATGAATATTGCTCTAGAGAAAAACTTTATTTAGTATCAGTTGCAGTTCTAAAAGGCATCCACTGCTGAAAGTAGACAACTTCCTTTCACTAATGCAGCAAACTGTTTGAAATGACAGAAGTGAGTGATTTCTGAAGGCTTCCTTTTACAAGGGTTGATCACCTTGTTCTGCAGCCTTCTGCTCTGTGTTTGCCCTGCAGCTGCACAGTGGGGCGAGACTTGGGTTTTGTTTCCTGGCTGCTCTGCTTCTGCTCCATTTGACCGCCTCCCTGTGGGTCTTCTAATGAATCGTTCTCCTCTGGCATCTTCCTCACCTCAGAAAATCCACATCTCTCTCTTCCTTGAGACCTGAAGTCAACAACATTACAACCTCTTTTCCCTTCTGTCCACCTCACCTGCTCTTCCCATCTGGGTGGACACCCCAGCCAGCTAGTGCTTCAGTGTTGTCAGCTCAGGAAGGCCAGTTTAGGGGCTGCGCTCCTGTAACATTTGCTTTATAATCTGTGAAGAGGCACACGGCATCAAGAGAGCTCTTCTGGCTGCAAGAATGTTTGCTTTTGATTGTAGCCTAGTCTTTATCATCATTCTGCTGGAGACAGAATAGCAGCTGCAGTGTTGAATGAAACTCTGTCATTTTAGTGGTTTTAGGTTGTTTGGGGAATGTGAGCGAAGACCTGTATTCTGTGGAAATAATTAATTTTACCATCAAAAATACTAGCTGGTGTGTGAGCATCAGGGAGGGATGGGGACAGGATCGAAGAATTCTGTGCCTAATAGCTAATTCAGATAACTTGGGTTTTTACATAAAAAGTCATAATAATCACATATATATATATATATGACTATACAAATATGACTATATGTGACTATGTATATGACTATATATATGACTATGTATATGACTATATAAGACTTCATATATGATTATATATATGACTATATACATAGATATAGGGAGACAGAGACTGTGGCTAAATTTCTTTTTTTTAAATTATACTTTAAGTTCTGGGGTACATGTGCAGATCTGGGGTATATGTGCAGATTGTTACATAGGTATACACACGCTGTGGTGGTTTGCTGCATCCATCCCCTCGTCACCTACATTAGGTATTCCTCCTGTTATCCTTCCCCAATCCCCCCACCCCCTGCTATCCCTCCCCTAGCTCCCCCACCCCCCAACAGGCCCTAGTGTATGATGTTCCCCTCCCTGTGTCCATGTGTTCTCATTATTCAACACCCATTCATGAGTGAGAACATGCAGCATTTGATTTTCTGTTCTTGTGTCAGTTTGCTGAGAATTATGGTTTCCAGCTTCATCCAGGTCCCTGTGAAGGACACTAACTCATCCTTTTTTATGGCTGCATAGTATTCCATGGTGTATATGTACCACATTTTCTTTATCTAGTCAATCATTGATGGGCATTTGGGTTGGTTCCAAGTCTTTGCTATTGTAAACAGTGGACTGTGGCTGAATTTCTTTTGACAGAAGTCAACAAATATCTATCACCATATTCTGAAGTTTGCACCAAAGTTGACAGTACTGAGAAATATTTACTTGGGGTGTGTGTGTGTGTGTGTGTGTGTAGTCAATATATATGTTGCATTTTAATGCAATGACATTAAGAGTTTTATTTCATTTCCTGAAATAGTCACACATCCAATTTTATTCTAAGAATAACTCAACAGATGTCTCAATTGTTGATACTCTATTAGGGTCCTCACAGAGTGTTAAATTAAAATTCCTAGACCATTATTCATGCCTAAAGCCCTAGAAAATATGGTTTTGTTCATTGACAGCCCTAGTCAAATATGCTAGAAGACAGAATATTTATAATTCACTGGTTTTATTGACATTCACTCGAATTCTGTTGTTTTTAAAGATCAAGTTAAAGACTACACAAACCTTCAAAACTTAACATAGCACCCTGGGATATCTCTCAATTAAACAGGCATCAACAGAGGATATGCAGCTAACCTCTTAATGTAAGACTTTATTCTTGCTGTTCCAGTTATATTTCTGAAGTTTGCAAACTAGTTTGTGTCGTTTTTAAAATAAATTTCATTTCCATAGAGATGTCTAAAAATTATTTAGCAGATTATGTTAAAATAGAGTAGAGCTAACTTCCTAAGAAAGGAAGCTAATGGGGACGGAGGCAGCAAACCGCATTGCCATGCATGTACCTACGCAACAATCCTGCATGTTCTTCACATGTCCCCCAGAACCTAAAATGCAATATATATATATATATAATATTATTCTTGGATTCAATTTACATTTTAAATAATACCTATGACACAAGTTCCCGTTTAAGAACTAAGGTCTGGGTTTCATTCTTTAACCTGTTCCTGGTTGAGGCCATATTATAAATGTCTTTTCTTAAGGCTTTCTAGTTATTTCTAGACTTTCCTTTCTCCCTGGGCCTCCCACAGGCTTCCTTTCTCACCTGCCTCTACCCGTCAGTCTTCAAATCAGAGAACATCAGGATCAGTATCTGCTTTTGGAGAGGCAGGGGATGATAGACTATTGAGGAGATCAAATGCGTGGTTTCCCAAGTGAGCGATTAATAGGGTAAATTCCAGCTGCTTTAAGAAATCACTGCTTTTTGAGAGTAAAACACATCATGTGAATATTTTTCAGTACCGTCCACTTTGGTGCAAACTTCAGAATATGGTGATAGATATTTATTGACTTATGTCAAAAGAAATTTAGCCACAGTCAATATGGGGAAAACTGAATTTAGCCACAGTCAATATGGGGAAAACATTTAATTTTTGATTAATTAAATGTTTGATTCATTCATTCAACAGCAGATACATTAAAGGCTACTATGTATCAGACATGCTTTGAGGCTTGAAACACAAGATTCACAACCGAGGATAAAACTAGAGAAAGATACTCTAGGTGAGATCAGCGGAAAGAACAAGGGTCTCCCAGCAAAAATGCGTAAGGTGAGTGTGAGCCGTTCAAAAAATATAAAGTGGTAGAAGGAAGGAAAACAAACCTGTAGCAGAATTGATAGTAAGTTTGAAAATATATTAAGGGATAAGCGCCTGTTTACACAAAGTCTTGCCTGGATGGCTAGCGAGTTTAGTCTTGTACATTCACGAAAGGAAGCTCCATGAGGACTTCTGAGCACAGCAGGGTCTGTACGAGTCATCGAGCACCAGACAGAAAGTTAGAAGGTCTTGACTGTCCTGATTGACCTGCCACTTTCTACACCTGTTTTCTCATTTACACAAGCAGATATGTAAGATGTTCTATAGGGGTCTTCCGGCAAAACAATTTTCAATTCCACATTTTGGAAAATGGGTCTATGGAAACAGGAAGGATTGGGATATGAGTGATGGGGCTCCTTGAAGTTCTAGGGGTGAGACAATAAGGATAAAGTGAGACCTCAGAGACAGGAAGGGAAGTGTGCCCTTGTGGTTGTTGAGGCTGTGCACTGCACATCTCCAGGGGGTGCTATATGCATGAACTAAGACTTCAAGACAGGTTAAGGGATTTCAAAGTTCTTTGTGATTGGATGGGAGGGGAGTGCAGGCTTGCAGATCTCCTGCCAGAAAGAGCTATGTGAATTGGAACTTCAAAAGAATTCTCACAGAAAAACCAGGGAGGCAGCAAGGAGGGGTGAATTTTGCAACCATGTCTCCATGAAGAGGAGACAAGTCTTGTAATGTTGACAGGGAGTCATCCTCAGTGTCAAAGCTGAAACCCTAAGAAGATAGACAGAACCCAAAAGACCTCCATACCATAAAGAGGAAAGAAGACTAGTTTCCAAAGCTCACAAAAATGTGTTCTGAAACTTTATTAAGTACTGACTGAGGGTTAAAGGTCCAGCCCTGTGCTAAATACAACAGATTCACAGGAAAATAAAACAAACATATTTCCTGCCCTTATCAAGGTAGAGAAGACATTACATTAAACTAGAGAAGACTAGACACTAAACAAATAATTACATAAGTAACCCAAAACATTTGTGAAAAGCAAAAGCATAATGTGACAGTAAAAGGCGGAATCCAGATCAAAGGACAAGGAAGGGTTCCGTGAGAAGATGGCATTACAGCAGGGGCAGGAAGTTGAATAAATGATAGAAGCAAAGTGAAAAGAGAGTGTGACATTAAATGGTACCAAAAAAAAAAAGGAAAAAAAAAGAGGTAGCTAGATGAAATAGTGTGAATCTTTAGTTGATCAGAGTTGGGGATAGATTAGACTGAGGCAAAAGAAGATAAAAGATACCAAGGATTTTTCCAAGGTTCTGGCATAAGAAACTGGACAGATAGAGGTGCTGTTTATTGAGATGGGAGACATGCAAAGAGAAGCAGATTTAGGGTAGATTAAGAATTTAGTGTGAGGGATTAATTCCAAGTAACATTTGACATATCCAGTTGGAGATATTAAGTAGGCAGTTAGGTCTGTGGGTCTGGAGCTAAGAAGATGTAAATTTAAGAGTCAGCAATGTACGGTGGTATTACAAAACATAGGAGCAGTCCAGACACATAGAGGACGGTGAAAACTGAAAGGGGAAAGACTCATAGGGCAATTGCAAGAATATAAAAATGTTCTACTTTCGGAGGCCGAGGTGGGTGGATCACGAGATCAAGAGATCGAGACCATCCTGGTCAACATGGTGAAACCCCGTCTCTACTAAAAATACAAAAAATTAGCTGGGCATGGTGGCGCGTGCCTGTAGTCCCAGCTACTTCGGAGGCTGAGGCAGGAGAATTGCCTGAATCCAGGAGGCGGAGGTTGTGGTGAGCCGAGATCGCACCATTGCACTCCAGCCTGGGTAACAAGAGCGAAACTCTGTCTCAAAAAAAAAAATTTTTTTTTCCATAAGGTACATCACACCCTTTAGGAACACCAAAGAGCACTTAAGAACTATGCTTGGGAGCCATTTTAAATGGCAAAATCTTCAACGGAAAGCACAAAAATGTGAAAAGCATGGCATTAAATCAACTCTGAAAAGGACACTTGCTTACAGTATGAGAGCTGAAATAAGAAAGTAGTGTCACCTTGT